AAAAGAGATCTTTAACACTTAAACTCTGAAAGCAGCAGCTCGAACCTGTGAGTCAGTGACGAAGGACCTGAGCTGTGACCTCGTGATGTCCAGAAATGAGACTCGTGACGAGGCTGAGCTTGCAGGTGAGCAGGGACACACTCGGGACGTGTGGTCGAGCTTTGTATAGTTTATGATATGAGCTGTTGCATCAGTCCACTGAAAACATCTGTAACATCTGCATGCTGAGACTGGGGTGCTGACAGACGTGTGACCGCTCGCGTAGCGACAGAAACAGGAAATGATGTAGTTTCTACATGGCGCTCGTCCACAAACAGAAACCTGGGCTGAAAGCAGTGAGGAGGGGGGAGGGGTCTCCCGGGACTCGTTGGCCTGGATGAGTCCAGGTGTGAATCTTGAGTGCTTAACCCCCCATCATCATCACAACGACTCTGACGAGGGGAGGGGGGTCAACGACCCTTCGAGGGCTCTGAATCGCTCAGTGACCTGAGGTGAGCTCGTCAGTCTCACCTGGACTCTCTAAACCGGGTGTGTCTGCTTGCAGCTTCCTCTTCAGCCCGTGGTCATGTGTCTGCGCGAAGGGCTGGTCGGCGACCATGTGGAACAGCCTTTCTGACCCGGTGCTGACCACCACCGCCTCGGGATGCTCCGCCCCCGAGCCGTGGCTGCTCCCCGGCTGCAGCTCCGTGTACGACAGCCTGGTCAGGTATGAAATTCTCCTGCAGAGGGGTGGGGTCAGTGTAGCGTGGCAGAGACGGCGCCCTCTGCAGGCCGTGGTTTCTCCTGACACCTTTCTCTTCTTTGCAGTAACGTCTCTCCGATCCCGTCTCCTCGTGGCGCCGGCGGCATGCGAGGACAAGAGCGAGTCATCAGCGGCAAACCACGCAGGTATTTGGCTTCTTTAATCCAGGCTAACGAGCCGTTATCAGGATCAGCTAATCCTGCGCGGACCAGTAAACGTGGACTGAAACCTGAAGGTCGCCACAGCAGGTGTTCATGCAGCTGTTCTTCCTCAGGTCCTCCATCCTGGAGCGCTGCATCCTCAAAGTGTCCACGAGCAGCGTGGCCGTGGGGACGGATGACGTGGACAGCAGGAGGTGAGTACGAGGGACATTCAGAGGTTCTGGCCTGCTCTGTGCATAACCTGCATCAGGTGGCGGTAGGCCACGCCCCTGAGCTGTGTTGGCCTGTGGCGTTGCCTGCAGCACTGCACGCTGCTGGAGCCTCTTCTTCTCTGGGTTTCTGTGTTCCCTGTTTAATTTGTCGCTCTGTGAAGGCCCCACATCAGCCGCTGTTACCCCCGCCTGCCGGACCCGACCAACACGGAGACCAACGCCGCGGTTCTGAAACGGCGGCAGAAACAGATCCAGTACGGCAAGAACACCAGCGGATACCAGAACTACATCCAGCAAGTCCCCAAGTAAGAACCCGGAGCATGACGCCGAGAATCGAACGACTGTTCCTCAAACGTCGACGCTGACACGCCTCTCTGGTTTCTCTCCTCCTCCTCAGACACCTGAGGGATCCTAAGCTCCACCCCTCCACTCCTAACAAGTACAGGAAGTACAGCCGGCGCTCCTGGGACATGCAGGTGCGTCTGTGGAGGCGAGCGCTGCACCTGTGGGACCCTCCGACCGGCGCCCAGCCGGATGCCGCCGACACGCCGGACCCCGTGGAGCAGCTGTAGGTGGAACCCAGCGCCAGTTGACATTTATCCAGAAAGTGATCCTCGTCAGTTGAGGCCTTTCTGTGACATCATCAGTATTTTCTCTCTTTAGGCAGAGTCAGCTGGAGAAGATGACCTCTGACCTCTTTGAGAATGTTGGAGACGAGCAGAGAGAGAAGGAGACTCCAGCATCCTCTAAAGTCTCCTCTGTGTCTCCTCTGCTGGCCGCCACGCCCTCAGCGCTGCCTGGAGCCTGGGCCGTCCCCGTGTCGCCGGTAATCAGTCACCAATCAAATTCTTCGGCTTATTAAAGATGCGTTAACTTTATTTAACGTCCTCTGTAAAACACAACATCAGCTGATCGGTGACTTTATTTATTCCTGTTTGTTTCTCTGCAGCTGGAGGCGAGCCGCCGGGCGCTTCGCTCTCCTCCAGGCCTGAACTACTCACTCAGCAGTCGGCTGACCACCGATGACAGCATGACCGACTGGCTCCACCTCCTGATGGAAACGGACCACGGCCAAGGTGAGGTAACTCAGCCAGCAGGGGGCGACTCCTGAGGGCGAGCCTGCTGGCTGGTTTGGGGCGGGGCTTGGTCAGATCCAGAGGTGGGAAGTAACTAAATGGTAAATGGCCTGTATTTATATAGCGCTTTACTAGTCCCTAAGGACCCCAAAGCGCTTTACATATCCAGTCATCCACCCATTCACACACACATTCACACACTGGTGATGGCAAGCTACATGTAGCCACAGCCACCCTGGGGCGCACTGACAGAGGCGAGGCTGCCGGACACTGGCGCCACCGGGCCCTCTGACCACCACCAGTAGGCAACGGGTGAAGTGTCTTGCCCAAGGACACAACGACCGAGACTGTCCAAGCCGGGGCTCGAACCGGCAACCTTCCGATTACAAGGCGAACTCCCAACTCTTGAGCCACGATCGCCCGTAACTAAGTATTTGTACTGAAGTAGAATTTGCAGGTGTTTGTTTTACTTGCACGGTTCGTTTGGCTTTGCACACAAATAGGAGCCACTTTTGCCACTTTTACTCTGAGTACTTTTTACTTGAATAAAAAAAGTTGAAGCAGTCCTGAAGTACAGACTGTGGGGACATGAGGTCACATGAGGACTGCTATGGTTACATCAAACCTGCTGAGGCAGGCGATCGGGGTCTTGTTCTGTGACATGTGCTCACTTCCTGTTTGTCGGCTCACCGCCATCTTGTTTCTCCGTGCAGACTCTGATGACCAGCAGGTCCCTGTGTTCTCCGACCAGCTCCTGTGGAACCCGTACTGACCACCCGACGCAGTCCTCGCCCTTGTTTCCTCATCGTGTCTTTTTAAATGTGTCTGAAGATTAACTGAACGACCGCAGGGATTCGATTGGCCGCCACCCCCCCTCCCGGGTGCTGAGGTTTCCCGGCTGCTCGTGAACGCATTGTCAGGGCGGACAGCTGAACACTCGGATGCACCTGAACGTTCGACCTCATGAAGCACTCGTCACCTGTTCTGCACTCGTTTCTGTATCGACTCACTTTGGTGTCACTTTGTTGTCTTTGCTCCACCTTCACCTTCGTGCTCTGCTGTCTGGCTCAGGCTCCTCCCCCCTGCACCGCCATGTTTTTTCTCAAAAACGACCCCCTGCTGAGTGGAGGGGAGCGGCCTTCTTTGTGTTTGAGTTTTCTTTTTACTCTTCCTACTTTTTTTGCTGCTTGACTGTCAAGAGCAAAGCTGAACCATGTGATTAATAAAGGCGTAAATAAAGTGTTACTGACCCACAGGCCGACTCGTTCTTCTTCTACTCTCCATAAGTGTTGGACATGCAGAGGTGTTCACTGAGGGTGTACAGCTGTAAGAACCTGGACTCCAAACACAAGTTCGTCTTCTCTGTCCCATCAGAATATCTGGGTTGTTTGTTTTCACAGAAAATCCTTAAATGTGCAGAATAAGATGAAGCGGCTCGTTTAAATCTACTTCTTGCTTCTAAAATGCAGCGTTGAATAAAATTAAATTTGTTTTTAATCCATAAATGATTTTTACTCGGTCTGACTATCCACGCATTTTATCAGGTTTTACGTGTTTGTTTTTTTTTTTTTTCGTTTTTTTTCTTTTTTTAAAAGTAAACCCTAAAGATGAACTCCTTATTTCTAAACTAGATTTTAACTCTAACAGTTTTATTTCAGTTTGTCAAATTTGTTTTCACTGTACAGTTTATTTAACAGTCTTTTTGCTTCCTCTTTGTTTTTAAAATATTCAGATTTTAAAAATGTAATATTAATAAATGGAATCAATTTTTAGTTTCAACCACGTGTTTTTATTTCTTTTTAGTCTCTACTCTTTTCTCTTCACCATTTTTACTCATTTTTCGTTATTTTTAATGTCCCGGTGTCTGCACGGTTCTCTGAGGTTCCTCCGGTCGGGCCCGGTCCGCGCACCGTTTCTGCGGGTTTGCCCTTTAACGCGAGCTGTGGCGGTAAACAAGCCTCCGCGGACTCCAGCCCCCGTCATGCCCCGCGCGGCAGCGTTCTCGGAGATTCGCCCCGGGTTCGTGCGGCAGGTTCGGCTGTGCTGAGCGGCGGCACTGCGGACCGGATCAAAGGATCAGACGTAAATAAACGGCAGGTGCCGGTGATGCGCTGAAGCCACGCCCCTCCTCCGCTGGCACCGTAGCTGTTATTTATGAATGCCCGCCGCTCACGGGCGTGTGCGCGCGCAGTCCTCGTTATTATTATTATGTTTTAATAACGGAGACCGGACACCGATCCAGGCAGATGTGCGGCTCAGTGCCGGAGCCTGCGATGCCCGCTCCGCGCGGTTAGATTCCCGCTTCGGTCCGCTGTGTTCGACGATAATACTGGGTCGATACACCGAACACAGAGCCGTTCGCCGGCCCGCTGCAGCCACAGGAGCCGCCTCACCCCGTCAACCGACAAGGTAAGCACTGCGCCGGGCCGGAGAGAGCGGGACGTGTGTCCGACTCCGTCCCGCAGCATCCCGCCGTGTGTCTCCCCCCTCTCGCCGCTCCGGGAGCTCTCGGGCCGGCCACACGCCGTCAGCACCGCTGTTCCGATCGCTGTTGACGGCCTGCGGTGGTTCTGCTAAGCATGGGCCTGTGAGGGGTCCGGTGTGTGCGGACGGCCCTGGCCTGGGTGATGGCCGGAGGCGGGACAGACACCGGGAGCATCATTGATGTTCGTGGGTTGTTTGTGACACCATTAACGGCGGCTAACGGGTCAGCTAGCAGCT